GGTGTATCGTGTTAAACAAATTATGGAACTACTTTATAAAGTTTGTATGCCAAATTTAAATGCAAACCATTTTTAAAATTAAATATAAAAATAATCAGAGAAGGTTAATTATTTATTTGTTTCCTTAAAAGACACTTTTAAGGGTATATAACAAATCATAAAATATATTTTTCAANACAATCCAAGGTGTATCGTGTTAAACAAATTATGGAACTACTTTATAAAGTTTGTATGCCAAATTTAAATGCAAACCATTTTTAAAATTAAATATAAAAATAATCAGAGAAGGTTAATTATTTATTTGTTTCCTTAAAAGACACTTTTAAGGGTATATAACAAATCATAAAATATATTTTTCAAAAATACTCCACATTTCATTCTATTTGGCATTCGCAACCTTTCACATTAATTGAGATTTTTATTAAGATACACAACTTTTTATTTTATTTGGCATCACAATCTTTAGAATTAATTGAGATTTTTGTTAAGATACACAGCCTTTCATTTTATTTATTAAGAAACACAACTTTTCCTTCTTTTTTTTAAAGAGACACAACTTTCCTTTTTATTTTGCCTTTACAATATTTCACATTAATAGGCGTTTTTATTAAGAATTACAACTTTTCATGTTATTTGGCATTCACAACCTCTGGAATTAATTGAGTTTTTATTAAGATACACAACTTTAGAATTAATTGGTATTTTTATTAAGACACACAATCTTTCATTTTATTTATTAAGAGACACAACTTTTCATTTTATTTTATTGAGAGACACAACCTTTCATTTAATTTATTAAGAGAAATAACTTTCATTTTATTTTACATTTACAACATTTCACATTAATTGATATTTTTATTAAGAGTCACAACATTTCATCTTGATTGACATTCACAACTTTTATAATTAACTGGGATTTTTTATTAAGATACACAATTTTTATTTTATTTGACATTCACAACCTTTAGAATTAGTTGAGATTTTTATTAAGTGACAACGTCTCATTTTATTTATTAAGAGACACAATCTTTCAGTTATTTCTTTAAAGAGACACAACTTTTCATTTTATTTTGTATTTTCAACCTTTTACACTAATAGACATTTTTAAATAAGAGTCTCAATTTTTTTTTATTTGGCATTCACAGACTTTTAAATTAATCACGATTGTTATAATAAGTAGATTTTTATTATGAGAAGACACAACTCTTATAACTATTTTAAATATTTTTAAATTATTTTTTTCTGAGACACAATTGTTTTTATAATGAAAAGATGCAACTTTTAAACTAATATATTTCATTTTTTATGAAGAGATATAACCTTTCAAAAATTGTTATTATGAGAAGACACAATTCTTACAACCTATTTTAAATACTTTTAAATTATTTTTTATGAGACACAAACTTTTTTTATAATGAAAAAGATGCAATTTTAAAAATAATAGAAATTATTTTATAAAAAAAACACAATTCTATTTATAACAAAAAGATGCAACTTTTAAACTTATATATTTTAGTTCTTATGAAAACATACACAATCTTTAAAACTAATATATTTCAGTTCTTTAAATAGACACAACTTTACATTTTATTTTGTATTTTCAACCTTTCACACTTATAGACATTTTTATAAAGAGTCTCAATTTTCTTTTTATTCGGCATTCACAGCCTTTGAAATTAATCAAGATTGTTTTATTAGTAGATTTTTCTTATGAGAAGACGCAACTCTTATAACTATTTTAAACATTTTTAAATTATTTTTTCTGAGACACAATTGTTTTTATAATGAAAAGATGCAACTTTTAAACTAATATATTTCAGTTCTTATGAAAAGATACAAGCTTTCAACAATTGTTTTGTTTTTCATATAATGGTCCAAATAAAATTTTTATGCAACTTTGAAAATAATAGATTTTTTTAAAATACAAAATTATTTTTATAATGAAAAGATTCAATGTTTAAACTAATATATTTAAGTTTTTTTTTATGAAAAGATACAACCTTTCAACAATTGTTATTTTGAGAAGACACAATTCTTATACTCTCTTTTAAATACTTTTAAACTATTTTATCTGAAACATAAACTTTGTTTAGTAATGAAAAGATGCAACTTTTAAACTAATATAAGTCGGTTCTTATGAAAAGATACAACCTTTCAACAATTTTTTTTTTTTGAAAATACACAATTATTTTTATAATGAAAGATGCAACTTTTAAACTAATATCTTTCAGTTTATTATGAAAAGATACAATTTTTCAACCATTGTTTTGTTTTTCATGCAATTGTCCTAAGAAATATTTTTTAGACATACGATATTTATGGCATTAACATATATTCTTTTCAAACAACACATCTTTTTACATGAAAGAGTCATACTTTTTCATATTTGAAGGATTACAATCTTTGGCTATAATTGTTTTTTTTTCTTCTATTGGTCTTAATAATTTTTTTATACTTAAACTAAAATTGCTATGAGCAGTTATTTTTTTTTCAAACAACACATCTCTTTAATTTGAAGAGTCATACTTTTTCCTAATTCTTGATTTTAAAATTTTTTTTTGAAGAGTTTCAGTTTCGTGGTTGTAATTATTATGGTTCTATCTAATGGTCCTGAAAATGTATTTGGTTGAACTTTTTTTTCCTCGCAACTCTTGAAAATATTCATTTAAAAAAAAAACACAACTCTTGATAATCTATCAATGTACCTTTTCAGATTACTAAAAATAGAACGTTTTACAGATGCAATTTTTTAAGAAAATTTATGTGTTTTTTTTCTAATATAGGTATGATTCTTAGTACTCTTGAATATAATGTTTGATTCATTATATAGTTTTAAACGATCTTTAAAAATTTAATGTGGTGTCTGCAAAAATAAATTAATAGATTTAGTTTCAATGAAACTAAACTACCATATCCAAACCAATCTGGCTGTAAGAAAACAACCTAAATTTTTTTGTGTAATCTCTTATTCTACTTCTGATAAAGTCCATTTTTTTTTGTATTTCTAACCCAATTTGTATGGAGGTACTAAGCCTCATAGATTTAAAAATGTCGTTCTTTGCATGATAATTACAGTGTTTTAAAACATATTATATTATTTAATTATAAGATTTAAACTGTTCCATCATTTCAACAAATTTTAAAAGTTTGTCTTCTCATATATAAAAAGATAAAAGAAAATGACTGCGACTTTAATATTAAAGTTTACTTAATATTGTTATGCTAAACACATAACATTTAAATTTATACATTTTCAAACACAAATTATATTTTCACTCTTCTATTATATAAGATTATTTTTTAAGNCTGCGACTTTAATATTAAAGTTTACTTAATATTGTTATGCTAAACACATAACATTTAAATTTATACATTTTCAAACACAAATTATATTTTCACTCTTCTATTATATAAGATTATTTTTTAAGTATTGATCTTCGTACAAAATAATTAGTTTATTAAATGATTCAAAATGATTGACTAACAAATATAAATTATATAAAAAATACTTAAAAAAAAAACATCTTTTCTCCCGCGCCTTTACGCGCGGGGTGGTTTCCTAGTTCATATAATAGAGATTTTAAAATAAAATGTATTTCTTTTCTTTAGATCATAACAAAAATGTTTTTAGAAAACCTATATATCAGTATATTTTAAAGAATTGGATAACAAAAAGATATGAAAACTATTTAATTAACAAAAAAAATATGATGTTGGTTAAGATTTTTTTTTATGTGTTTGCTCATACGAATGTCAGACACATGTTTGATATATATTTTCCTTTTTGGTCATAAAAGATAGATGTTGATATTATCATCATAAGTTTATATGTGTTTGATCAAAAACAAAATCTCCAACCTCATCTTAATACATTTTTGTTTTGTTTTTACTAGGTAGTGTTTTTAATTAATTTTTATTTATATTGTTAGTAAGGAAATATCATTAAAATAATAAATTAAGAAAATTATTTTATATTGAATAATTTTATATAACGATTTTATTGTAAATTGGAATTTATGTGGAAAAAAATGAGTTCTTAATTCTAAAATAAAATCACACAACATATACTTAAAGATCCTAAAACTATATTAACATAACTTTTTTTATGTTTACGTCTTTTATAAAATTAAAACTTCAAACAAAACTCGTGCAACGCACGGGCCTATATCTAGTTTATAATAAGTACCTATTAAGTACCTATTGGATATAAAATTTATTTATCCGAAACACTGGATCCGATTGGATCCTACCTGAACCCGATCCGAATATAAGAAATCCCAACCCTAGTTTTAGCAATAAACTCTGATGATGTGCCAATACAAACTATAATGAAGACACACACTCACACTGATTGTATTTTCTCTCTTAACAAAACACTATTACAACATTAATTAATAAAATATTATCACAAGATCACTATTAAATCCCTAGTAAAGTTAATATATTAGTGTTTTGTCGATTGCGAAAAATAGGTATTCGATATTATTGTTTAACTACTTATTTTCTTTACATTAGGTAATAATCTACTAAACATATCAACTTTTGTATCTATTTAAATATGAAAAATCTTGTAAAGATTTTATAAAAATTATTTTATCTTCTACCCCAATGAAAATGCGCGTGAGCATACTTACACATACTTTTTTCATAAAAAAACACTTACAATATATGCTGCCTGACGTTGGTATCTTACTTTCAATGTCCCTCGATTTTGAAGTTGGCATCTTACTTTCAATGTCCCTAGATTTTGACTCATTTAATGACATCTTCTTGATTCTCAAATTTTCATATACTTACAACAGTTAAGAGTAAAAGACCCTTGATTTTTGACTAAGCTTAGCCTAAGGTTTATTGTGAGTATTAATACACAATCAGACAAAATTTATCTCTTCTTCTGCTTCCCCATGAACCTTAAATAAGAACACCCTCTCCCCAACACTAAGAAATCATCATAACAACAACTCCAACAACAACAAGACCAAATATAGATCTTGAGAGATATGGATGACTCGGACGTTTTGGTGAGGGGAAACCATCAAGTGAATGGAGAGAAGCCTCCGACACGAATGTGTCCAAGGTGTTACTCAGACAACACCAGGTTCTGTTACTACAACAACTATAGCTTGGCTCGCTACACCTGCAAGAATTGTCGTCGATTATAGACTCATGGTGGGACTATAAGGAACATATCGGTTGGCAGCAGTGTCCCTAAAACCAAGCGTCCAAGAATAGATCAACCATCTGTTGCTCAGGTGGTTCCTGTTGAGATCCAACAGGTTAACCATCACCAGCCTTTCTTACATGATCAAGAAACCAACGTCACTAATATTAGAGTATGAAGAGAGTGTTATATCGTTGATTAATGTGTTGGTTAAATGTGTAAACCGGTTTGTTATGTAAACCGGTATGAGAGAACTATAAATACGTGTATTGTACATTCAGTTTGAATAACAAGAAATACAAAGTTCATTTTGGAATCTGTAACAAACTTTCTTCTTCGATTCTTCTTGATTCATCTTCTAATATGGTATCAGAGCGTGAACTTCCGCATTTTCTCGTTCATTTTCCGTGATTTTGAGCTCGATTCTTCTCCGTTTCCAGCTCCGGTGTCATGAGTCTTTCACTCGCCGTTTTCCGATTCATCGATTTAGTCTTTCGTGACGTGTTTGCGATTTTTCACTTCGTCTCGGTGGTGATTGTGCTCTCGATTCTTCGTTCTTTCAACTGTTGATCGATTCTATTCATCGATTCAACACCGTTCGTCTCGAGTCTTCTTGGATCTTGAGTTTTTCTTCTCGTCGTTATCATGCCTCCGATCTCTTACGCCAACACGGTGAATCCTCATTCGACTCCACCGTCAGCTCAGGCGCATCCGGAAGCAACGACATCTCTTCAAGATCCGAACTCGAATCCAGTCTATGTTCACTACGCTGACCACGCTGGTATATCTCTAGTCTCTAAGAAGCTAGCTGGTATAGGGAACTTTAATACATGGCGTAGATCTATGCTTATGGCGTTAGGAGCTCGTAATAAAGCTGTATTTGTTGACGGTACCTATTCAGAATTGACTGAGGAGCATCCTAATTATGCTTCGTGGTCGAGATGCAACAATATTGTGTGTACTTGGATTGTGAATGCAGTGGAGAAGAAGATAGCTAAGAGTATCATGTACTTAGATACTGCTAGACAGATGTGGCTTGATATTCATGATCAGTTCAAACAGAGCGATGGACCGCGTAATGCTGAAATAAAACAGCAAATCTTTGCGGAAGTTCAAGGTTCACAGAGTGTTAGTGATTACTACACTAAGTTGAAGCAACTTTGGGAGGAGCTGAAGAATCATGAGAGTCCTTATACATGCTGCTGTAGTAAGTCTGATTGTTCAAGTCTCAAGAGGATTGTGCAACGAGATGAACAAGATAAGATCTTGAAGTTCTTAACATGACTAAATGATACTTTTACAGCTACAAGAGGACATATTCTTATGATGGATCCAAAGCCAAATATCTCCAAAGTCTTCAATCTGATCTCACAAGAAGAGAGACAGAGATCACTCAAGAGTACGAGTGCTGTGACCTGCAACATTTCTCAGAATGAGACGTCTGATGGTTCTATTTTTGCTGCGTATTCTAATGGCTATGCAAGAAACAAGAATCTTCCCATTTGCTCTCATTGCGGTTTAGCTGGTCATACAGTCAACAGATGCTACAAGCTACATGGGTATCCTCAGGGTTATAAGCCACCTAACACCAACAACAAGTCTCAGGCTTCAAGTTCTAAACCGTAGCCGAAGGAGAATGTTGCTAATTTGGTGGTTCAAGAAACTGGTGGCATTTCTCTCCATGATCAACAAGGTGTCTGCTTGGGGACGGTTACATCTGAACAAGTCCATCAACTTCTAAGTGTCTTGGGTTCTACCAACCTTAATGACAACATTACTTCGATTGCTGGTAGCAAGTTTTGTCTCTCTGATGGAACAGCTTCTACTTCCAAACCTCAACCTCACCTTATTCCTCATACACAACATGATCATCCACCACCAGGTATCTCAAATCCCTCTCATTTTGTTTCTGCGGGAATGAAGAATGGCCTTACATTTAATAATGCTGCTTGGATAATTGATACTGGTGCTAGTTGTCATGTTTGTGCTGATTTAACCTTGTTTCGTAGCACTAAAACCATTAGTGACACTACTGTAACTCTCCTTGATGGTACTTGCATTGAAGTCACAATATCTGGAACAATTGTTGTCTTCTAGACTCACCTTGACTGATGTGTTGTTTGTTCCTCATTTTAAAATTCATTTGCTGAGCATTAGTGCCTTAACTAGGAATAGTTCCATTGCTGTTTTGTTTTCGTCTCATGCATGCTATATTTTTCCTGAAAATCCGTTTACATATCAGGAGCATATTCAGGACTTCATGATTGGGAAGGGTAACCTTCAACGCAATCTTTATGTCCTGGACGCTGAACAACCTGAAATTGTTTCTTCTACAAATCATTTTGAAGCTCATTCGGTTTTACAAGTTACAACGGATCTATGGCATCAACGACTTGGACATCCTCCTTCAATAAAATTCAACTTCTTTCCAAATCTTTGCAGTTATCTCATTGTAAACTTGATCATAATAGTCTTTGTAAAGTTTGCCCTTTTGCTAAACAAAAGCGGATGTCTTTTCCTTCAAACCCTCATATGTCGAAATTCCTTTTGATTTGATTCATCTTGATGTTTGGGGTCCTTTTAAATGTCCAACACATGATAGTTATAGATATTTCTTTACCATTGTTGATGATTGTACTCGTGTAACTTGGTTGTACCTTCTTATCAATAAAAGTTCTGTTCTTACTGTCTTTTCAGAGTTTTTAAAATTTGTTCAAACACAGTATCATATACATGTTAAAGCGATTCGATCTGATAATGCTCCTGAGTTGGGTTTTCAATCAATTTGTAAGGAACAAGGCATTGAACATTATTTTTCTTGTCCTTATACTCCTCAACAAAACTCAGTGGTTGAAAGGAAACATCTACATATTTTAAATGTAGCTAGAGCATTACTTTTTCAATCAAAGGTTCCTTTATCATATTGGGGTGAGTGTGTTCAAACGGCTATATACTTGATCAATAGAACACCTTCCCCACTTTTGCAAAACAAGTCTCCTTTTGAACTTCTTACTAAGAAAGTGCCTTCCTATGATCATATTCGAGTTTTTGGGTGCATGTGTTACTACTCTACTCTTCAAAAGGATCGTCACAAGTTTTCTCCTCGTGCAAATCAAGCTATTTTTCTTGGTTATCCACATGGTTTCAAAGGTTACAAAGTTTTAGACATTGCAACAAATAAAATCATTATCACTCGTAATGTTGTTTTCCATGAATCTGTTTTTCCTTTTGCAAATAAAACTGATTCCTTGGACACTGAAAAATCCTTCTTTGCTCAAGATGTTCTTCCTTTACCTGTTCATGATTCATCATTTCCTGCTTTCTTTGATCTTGGTACTGACATACCTTCTTCTGTGTTTAATGATGATCATTCTGAAAGCGTAGCTAATCATAGTCCTTTGCATACTACTGCTTCTCGTACTGTGCCTGTTTCTGTGTCTAGCCCTGTTCATGTTGATCTTCCTGAACCTGCTGCAAATCATTCTGTTCCTAGTATTGTTTCTGATCCTATAGTACCATCAGTGGTCTCGTTACCTGAAACAAGGTCTAAAAGGCAGACAAAAGCACCAGCATATCTTGATAAGTATCATTGTTATTTGTTAGATCATTCTTCTGATCCGCATACTCATCCTACCCATACCACCACATATCCTATTTCCTCTTTTCTTTGTTATGATAAGTTTGATCCAGCCCATAAACAGTTTGTTTTAAACATCACTACCCAAAAGCTTCCTAAAACCTATGCCGAGGCTGTTCTATCCAAAGAGTTCAAACTAGCTATGCAATCTGAAATGGGTTCTGTAGAAGCTACTAGTACTTGGTCAGTGTGTGATTTGCCTCCAGGAAAGCACCCGTTTGGTTGTAAATGGGTTCATACCATCAAATATAACCCTGATGGAACGGTTGAGAGACACAAGTCACGTTTGGTAGCGAAAGGCTATACTGAGTTCAAACTAGCTATGCAATCTGAAATGGGTTCTCTAGAAGCTACTGGTACTTGGTCAGTGTGTGATTTGCCTCCAGGAAAGCACCCGTTTGGTTGTAAATGGGTTCATACCATCAAATATAACCCTGATGGAACGGTTGAGAGACACAAGTCACGTTTGGTAGCGAAAGGCTATACTTAGTTAGAAAGCTTGGATTACTTGGACACTTTCTCCCATGTGGCCAAGATTGGTACTTTACGTCTATTACTAAGCGTTGCTGCAGCCAAGAATTGGTTTATTTCTCAACTAGATATAAGTAATGCCTTTCTCAATGGCGACTTGGATGAAGAGATATACATGCGCTTGCCTCCTGGTTATGAAGAAATTACTGGCAAGCAATGTCCTCCTGGCTCTGTGTGTAAGCTACATAAGTCCTTGTACGGCCTTAAACAAGCATCTCGCCAGTGGAATCAGAAGTTGTCTAGTGTGATCCTTGGTGATGGATTTATTCAAACACATTCTGATAACTCTCTGTTCATCAGATATGTGGATCGTGTGTTCTTGGCGGTTCTTGTGTATGTTGATGATATCTTGATTGTAGGCAATAACGACTCTGCTGTAACAAGATTCAAGGAGGTGCTCAAGTCAGCTTTCAAGCTTCGGGATCTAGGACCTGCAAAATATTTTCTAGGGTTCGAGATTGCTCGTAATACAAGTGGTATCTTCATTAATCAGAGGAAGTATACTCTTGAACTCCTAGAAGAGGCTGGCTATCTGGGGTGTAAACCGTTGTCTGTTCCTATGGAGCCTAACATGAAGATGTCTGCAACTTCGGGGACGGTATTACCTGATGCAAAGGTCTACAGAAGATTGGTTGGACGAATTCTTTATCTCACTGATACCCGTCCAGACATTGCCTATGCTGTGCATAAGCTCAGTCAATACATGTCAGCTCCCACTGATGTTCATCTTCAGGCAGCTTATCGTGTTCTTCGCTACCTCAAGAATGATCCAGGTCAAGGCTTATTCTATTCAGCATCATCCTCTTTACGGCTTATAGCTTATTCTGATGCAGACTGGGCAGCTTGTCTTGACTCTAGACAATCAGTGACGGGTTACTGTGTTTTTCTCGGTGATTCTCTCATTTCTTGGCGGTCAAAGAAGCAGCCTACCGTATCACGCAGCAGCTCTGAAGCAGAGTATAGAGCGATGGCAGATGCAACGTGTGAATTAATATGGCTGACTGCTCTGC